CTCTTGATCATACTCTATTTCGAAACAAGTCATGTCGAAAATAGTGACATGGTATTCATACTTGACCTCATCATATCTAAAGAGAAGGAAGTAACCATATTTAAGTGAATAGTTCTTCACAAAACATTCCCAACCTTTGCTTAGCCACACTTTGCCACCTTCTTTAAACAACTCTACTCTCCAAACTTTACCATCATTTACGCTTAGTTTAGCGTAATCATTTGCTAATTGCTCTTCATAATACGTCCTCACGTATTTTTCGGGTATTCTCTGCCTCCCATAAAATGAAGCAACACAAAATATGTCATTTAAAATTAATCATCAAAAAACTACTAGCAACAATTTTGCATGAACCCTAAATTAATACATTGAAATAAAAAAAAAAATTATAATGAACTTACTAGGTTGTGACTTTGAGTTGAAGGAGCAACAATAAGTTTGTAAAAACAAGGTCCTAGTGCTTGCAAATTGTCAGGGGTTGTTTCTGGAATTGTTGTTAATGCAATCTTCTTACCCTTGATTTTGTTGCCTTTCTCAAGGACCTGCATTTTGTAGATTGTGAAATAGTGTACACTAGTTATTGGCTACGGGGTTGATATGACCCTAATAATTTACACTCTTTTCTAGTAGAGTGTCTTTTTGTTGAGGACAACGGGACGAAGAGGAAGACTTTTGTGGGTTTGATTGGCGGAAGGTAGAGAGATGGTTGTTAAGATCTTAAGCTTGAACCAGATCAGAGGTTCAACAATAATGGTGAAAAGTAACAGAAGTTTCTGGAAGAAAATAGAGAGAAAAAATGAAGAAGAAGATTTTGTGAATTTTTGATTGAATAGTTTAAGTTGTAATAATGCTTACAAACATGTATTTATACAGCATTCAATAAGCTAAGCTTAGCAATTAGGGGAGAAAGCAATAAGTTTGTTACAACATCTTACAAAAATGAATTGATGGAAGTAGCTTAGCAAGTGTATGTATATATGGTAATTAAGTTGCACTGTTGCATGCATGCGATTGACGTACATATGTAAAACCCTTTTTATTTAGTGTTTATTCAATCAAACTAAACACATGCATTATTTTCTAATTTTCATTGGAGGAAATTCAATTTAAAGCTCATCGGATGATTTTTTTGGTGTTTAGAGAGCCACAAGGACGGGTGATGAGAATCGATCCTAGGATCTCTTGAAATCGGGAAGAAAGCTCTAACCATTTATTGAGTTATCCCTCACTCTCAAAGATCATCTAATGATATATACTGCTAGGAATTATTTTTGCATATTGGTTATAGTCTTATAGACAAAAAGTGAAAGAGGTATTTGCTTGTTTTAAAAATCAGAAGACATAATCCTTTATTTCCAAACTATATACAATACTATATTCATTATTTTTGTTTATTTGTACAAAAAATTATAGAAGCAGATCAGATAGCCCTATTAATACTCAATATCACAAGTTCACAACTCGGATTTAAGTTATTTAGACTTGTCATTTTTAGATTAGTCCAAACCAGTAGATTATACGTACTCCTTATTAGAGATTGAAAATTAACAAATCCGATAAATTTTGAACTAAATGTGGACTATTATAAATCAGTTATAATTCATCTGATCTATTGTTCTCTTTCTATTAGTGTTTGGAACATGTTTCGGGGTTTTTTTATGTGTCCTGCGGGAGAGTTACAATACCAAGACTGACCTCCGGCTGCCTGTACTTGCAAAACCACAGAGACTCCTAGGGGTGGGAATTCCGCCTCCAAGGATCAAGTTAGAACGCGTATGAGGAGTATAGTGCGTAATGTAAATACTTCTCTCTGATTCAGAGAATTCTGGAATAAATGTTGCTCGATTTTTGTGTGGATTGAATGTGTATTCAATAAATGAATGCCCCATAAATGAGGATGGTTCCTCTATTTATAGGGAAGGGGATCAGTTCCCCTTCTAGGGTTTAGGTGACACGTGTCAGTAGAGGGTTGGATCCCTTTAGGCCTCTCTAAGACTGACTCATGCCAGCAGGCTATTGGGACACGTGTTGTATTAACAGTTGTCCATTTGTCAGGGGTATTTTTACCCCCAAACATTAGCCCCTCGAAAGGAGTAATCTCTCTTTTAAGAGGGATTGTTCCTTTCGAATATGAGACCCCTTGAGCCTCTTTGGTCTGCATTTGTCTAGTTCAATTAAGGAGGGATTTGATTGACTTGGAAAATTTTGATACTTTGAGCGGTATGACATTTTCTAAGTTAATCAACTCATAATAATGATTGCCGCTGAACTAGACAGATGTCGACTCTTATTGCTTTTAGCCCCTTTATGCTGATAGCCCCAGATTAGGCGGACTGTCGACCATAGAGTGGGGGTAAGCGCGCAATATTATCTGGCCATTGGCCTCTATTTGATCATCCGGCCATAGGCTTTCGATTGATCATTCTGGCCATTGGCCTCAATTTGATCATCCGGCCATTGGCCTTCGACTGATCATTCCGGCCATTGGCCTTCGACTGATCATTCCGGCCATTGGCCTTCGACTGATCATTCCGGCCATTGGCCTCAATTTGACCATCCGTCCATTGGCCTTCGACTGATCATAGAGCAATGTACCACCCAAATGGGAGATGCTCTCTGCGACGAATTCAACCGAATGGGCGTCGCCATACGCCTCCTCCTGCTGGAGCAGACGGATTGTTTTATTTTAATAAGATCATCCGGCCATCGGTCTTCGCCTGATCATTCCGGCCATTGGCCTCAATTTGATCATCCGGCTATTGGCCTTCGCCTGATCATAGAGCAATGTACCACCCAAATGGGAGATCTCTCTGCGACGAATTCACCTGAATGGGCGTCGCCGGACGCCTCCTCCTGCTGGAGAACACGGATTGTTTACTTTTAATAAGATCATCTGGCCATTGGCCTTCACTTGATCATTCCGGCCATTGGCCTTCGCCTGATCATTCCGACCATTGGCCTCAATTTGATCATCCGGTCATTGGCCTTCGACTGATCATAGAGCAATGTACCACCCAAATGGGAGATGCTCTCTACGACGAATTCACCCGAATGGGCGTTGTTTGGGGTAAAATTACCCATGCCACGTGGTCCAATAGCAAGCTGACACGTGTCAGTCCCTTAGAGGCCCAATGGGATCCAATAGGATGCTGACACGTGGCATAGTAACCCTAATAGGGGAACAGATCTTCTTCTACTATAAATAGAGGAAATACCTCATTTATTATGGATTCATGCACAGTCATAAATACAAACACAAATACCGAGCAATATTAATTGCAGAATCTCCCGGAATCCGAGAGACTACTTACTTTCCGCATCCTTACTCACTCAAACGTATTCTAACTTGATCGTCGGAGACGGAACTCCAACCAACTGGAGTCTCCGTGCTTTTGCAGGTACAGGCGGTCGGCTACCAGTTCTGGTGTTGTAACTCTCCCCAGGACACATCAAAAAACCCTGAAACACATACTATCCAAAAATTAAAACAAAAACAATATTTTAGGTCTCTAATATAGGAAAACAGGAACTACGTTATAAGACGGAGAGAATCCTTCGTATTTAAAGTGTCGTAAAAAAAAAATTAAATTGAATCGGTTTTTGGTAACTAGCCTTGTTATATGTTGGACCAACTTTGTCTGGATGGGCCTGGTTATATCTGAATAGGCCTTTATAAATGTGCCTTCATTCCTTCGACCCATACTAGAGTAGGTATTAAAAAAGTTAGGAATATTTGAAGCAATACTTAAATTTCAATTCCAATTTAAAAAGTAACAATTTTTACGAGCGCTTATTATCTTCACTGTATGCAATTCAAATTCTACCAAATTAAGATTATCCAAAGGAAATAATTTAAATAATATAATAAACATTTTATATTGCTACTACATCAGTAATTGTGTTACCTTAACTTTTAACTTTAGGAAAAGAACTTAAATAAACCATTCCTTTGTAATTGTAATATATATAAACATGACTAGCGTGAAGTATGTAGATATTACGATACGTTATCAATCGTGCAGGATGTTGGTATTCCACATTGTCCTACGCATTAACCCTGATGTGGATTAAACCACGAAAAGGGATACTAGCAATTAGGGTTAAACCTAATTCAATAAGTTTTGATCTTTTCGACTCAAAGGAGAAGAAAAGAACGTTTCAAAATTAACTCACACAAATCAATCTCACAATTTTTTTATTTTTTAATTTTAAACTCAAAACATCTAAATTCTCATTAATAAAACAAATATTTATAGGCATACAATCCCATGCCTGATAGGATAAACAAATCTAAAAGATAAAATAAAATCCTAACAAACTCTAATTATATCTTATAAAATGATAATTTTTCCTAATCTTTATCCTTAATAAATCATATGAATACGATAAAATAAATCCTAAAGAAAATAAATCTAGACTCCTAAACCTTGATGCTTGATACGCATCCAACCCAATAAATTTTTTTCATGTAATTGGTGGTGTAGTTTTAGGCTTCTTCCAACGGCTGAAAAAGTTCTGTGTTCCTTTCGAACCGTTACTAGTTCAACGTTGAATCATTTTATCTTTCTTCGTTGTACTCCGTATTAAAATTTGCATGAAAAGGGATTAATTCATAACATAAGGTTAATTAATTTAATTACTAATCATTACATCTTTCAAAAAAAAAATAAAAAATTACTAATCATTACATTTTCCCACGTATGTGAGTCTATCATATAATCAATTTGCTAATAATGATTAGAGTAGTCCACCAAACTTGTTTGCTACATCGAAAGGTCGAAGCCGAGGTTGGTGACCACATATTAGCCTAACAAAGCTACATCGATCTATCATAAAAACAATTTAGGTATGATGTATTATACAACCAATTATGAGCTATCGTTGAATATGTGTTTATGTTTGAAATTTCTCTAAAAAAAAATAGTGAAAAGTTACATGGCTAACCAAATTAACCTTAACAAAAATTTGTTATCAAATAATACTTACAAGAGGCTACTAGCTCAAGAATTTTGACGAGGAGAAGTTCTACAAATGGGGCAACTAGCTTTAGCTCTTAGCCACGGATCAATACAACCAGCATGGAAGCGATGAAGACAATCCGGTAACGTTTTTAGGGTGTCACCACGTGAGTAATCCGTCAAGCATATAGGGCAGTTCTTGTCATCGCCGGGTTTAATCTGGCGCCTACTCTCGCCAATCACCACCATTGGATACGAGTTAATCGTGGTCAGATCAAGTCCAGCGACATCTGCTAGCGTAATACTATATCTATCAGAGTCGGTATAAACTGTATTGGTCGTAGTAATAATAGCTGGTTGTTCAACATTTTTTCTTGACAGCAGAATGCACAAAGTACAGCTGATGAAGATTAAAAATAACACTACGAATGTTGTTACTATTGCTACCAATGTGCGGTACTCTAACGAGTTTTTGTTGGAGTCCGAAGCTGCTGGAGATGTCCAAGTGAAGCTTTCTATAAAAGTCGAAAAAACACAAAAACAAATTATAATCCAATATTCAATTCTTCGTTTTCAAAATATAAAAATAAATCTAACATAAAATCCAAGTGCAGGCCATTTTGTAGACCTCAATTGGGATACTGGGGAATAACTTTTAAATCGCATGACAGAGCTAAAGAGTTATAATATTTATTTTTCCATGCCAGACAGAAAGCTAAACAAGTTAATTAGGAAATAAAGGTATCATTAGATATGTGACAAATTAAGAGTAACGCTACAAATGTAGTATGTATTTCTTACCACATGACTCACATGTCTGTTTGTCCCAAGTAAGGTCGATGCTTGAATGATTACTCAGCTTAGTTATGTTAAGTTTGTATAATCCATAATTTGTTGGAACAGAAACAATCTTCATTAACTTGCAATTAGTATTAGTGACATTAACTCCTCGCGGTACACTAACAATCTTGTAATTCGAACCTCCAAGGCAGTCGATTTCATCATATAAATCGCTATGATCACCAACTCCAGAGCAGTTATACACCCAAAAATCCTTTTGCCTTACCCCTCGAAAAGGGGTTGTGGTAAGATTTAATGATAACAATTTTTGCGGAAGACAATTACTCGGATCCGAAAGCTTTATTTCCCTTAACGAATAGGATATAGCATCAACGGTGAAGTTTCCAGCATTTGGGAGACGTAGAAGGTTGCCTAACTTATGATCACAATACAAATCAAAACCAGGGGAACCACAAGACTTGGCCTGCTGGCCTACTATGCGGAAAGGAAACTTGATCGGTATTGGCACGAGCGAAACGTTTCCATTACAAACCGTGGCCTCGCAAGGCTCGGCGTTGCAAGTCCTCGGCATACATAGCAAATGAAGTGATAGAAATATGATGAAAATGCTAGAAAAATTCATGTTTTATTTTTGTTGGGATGTTGTAAGGTTGTATTGAGTGGTCTCCACATTTTTCTTCTACCCTATAAAATTAAGCTTTAGGCTTAATCTAATTGCTGAAAAAATCATTTAAACATGTACTAATTCAATGATGAATTAGTCTAGCACTTTTCATGTTGGCTTGTTGCAAAGAAAGAGATTGATTCAATACATAATAATTGTGTTTTTTTTATGGATTATGGAGCACCTCTTAAAGCCAAGGAAAAGGCAAAATCCCATTTAAATCTTAAAATAAGTATATATATTATATATAGTATTGACTTGTTATTACTTATTAGACTATTAGTCAACGCCAAGAGCAAACTATTAGAAATTGAAATGATGTACCAGCTTGCATAATTATATATGCATGTCATTGACTTTAGTTCCCTGAGTATTCATCCTTATAAATGATAAGAAAATTAATTTAAAAGTGGTGGATGGTTCATCCAAATTATGGCCAATTGACCAAATTAGTAAAAAAAAAAAAAAAAAAAAAGACCTTTCACGACAATTTGGTAAAAAAAGTTAACACTATGCGACAATTTGGTAAAAAAAATAAACTCAGGTAACATTTAAACCATAAAATTGTTTTTTTTTCCAGCAAACTCTTCAAAAGTCCTAATTAAATTGTTTTGTATTTTTTAAAATTTATTTTTTTCATTTAAAATTTAAATTATTATGTCATCTTCTTTTTAGTTTGCTAAATTTTGAATTATATAAATTTATTTCCAACCCTTTTTTAAAAAAAAAAATTGTTAATAATGGTTAGGAAAATTAAGTGAAAATTAGTATTTAATCCTTTTTTTTCTTCAAATATTTATTTCCTTATAAAGGGTTGGAATTTTATGTGGAAAAATATATATATTTTTTTTTAAAAAAACCACGAAAACGATAACAATCGCAAGTAGTTTGTTGGAAATTTTGTATTTTTAGGCTTAATTGTCGCCTGAGATTTTTTTTTTTTTTTTTTTTTTTTTTTACCAAATTGTCGCTTGAGGTTGGGCTTTTTTACCAATTTGTCTCTGGAGCAATTTTTTTTACCAATTTATCGCTAAAGGTCTTTTTTTTTTTTTTTTTACCAATCTAGTCAATTGGCCTCCAAATTATAAACGACAATAACTCTTTAGGACGTACCAAAATTTGCCTCTAACTATATAAGACAAAGAATATGGACTTCTACGCATAGGATAAGGCCTATAGCCCAACGTATCAACAACTTCTTGAAAAGTATAATGTACATACTACGTAGTAGCATCAACATGTGGAGTATATTAGTTGCATATTTTATAATATAATAAAGCTTTAAAGATAATACATAATAGTATACCAAGCTAATTTGGTGAAGTGGGTGGGCTCGAACTTGTGATCCATGTACTTAAATTAACATTTGCTGGTTTAATAAGGTCCTTCATACGAAAAAAAAAAAAAAAAAAAAAAATCACTTACTAAGACTCTAGTTAAAAGATTCAGTTTGGTCATTTTCTCCCACAACTTTTTTGGATCACTATAATTCAAAATAGTTTACAAACTAATTTCAACATCGAGAAAATTTCCATCTTTCCCTAAAAAAACGGAGATAATGTTTATCCCTTTTAATATATACAGAACTGTTTCACAAAGAAAACGTTATACAATTGAATGACAAACATGGTTTAAAAAAAAAAAAAAAAATTGAATGACAAACATGAACATATATACATCATTGTTATAACACGCAATATGTGAGATTGCAACTTAATTAAATTATAAATACAAATTGTCGATGATCAGCAAGTAGCATAATTAAGAATTAAGTGGTGGAAAAGTTCTACAAATTGGGCAAGTAGGTTTAGCAGAAAGCCATAAATCAATACAATCAACATGGAAGCGATGAAGACACCCTGGTAACACTTTAAGGGAGTCACCAGGGATGTAATCCGCCAAGCATATTGGACAATTGTCATCGTCCGGTTTGATCATGCGTCCGCTCTTGCCTATCAACACCGTCGGATATGAGTTAATCGTGATCTGATCTAGTCCGACATGATTTGTATTTGTGGTGGCAGTGGTTGATGCTTCAACATTTCTCCATGAGGACAGAGAACCGCGATAGCAGCGAACTAGTAATAGAATCAAGGAGACAGCTACTAGTGCTGTTACTCCTATTCCTATCCAAAAATATTTTCGTGGTTTTTGCTCCCTCGAGCTAGAAGCTGTTAGCGGAATGGAGTCCGTGTTAAAATTTCTAGCTAGAGTCTAGACAAAGTACCAACTAATAATTTTTATATGTTGATGCAAAATATACACAAAATATTCTATACTTATTGTTAAGGATATAATAAGGTGTAGTCAATTAACTTGCAACATTATGAGTATTAGGCTTGCCTATAGTCCTATACAAAATAACTCTAATTATAAAAACTTGACTTAGATATGTAAATGAAGATGAGATGAATCTAACAAGGAGTCATTGATTATTACTTTTCAAGTATAAATCATAAAACATGGTTAAATATTTATTTTAATAATAATTCAAAAATTAAAACGTTATTGATTACTCCTACAAAGGTTTTCAAGGGAATTTCATAAATAGAAAAAAAAAACACGAGTTTATCTCCTTTGCAAAACTATAAATATATCAATAACTTTTTATTAAAAATAGGCCCATAAATATACAATACACGACGTGCTGAATAGGCAAATTTGTTGATTTATTTATATTACGATTTTGCCCTGCATGTGATATTTTGTTGATCAACGTGATTAATTGGGGCTTCTTCCGAAATGTATGGTATTCTAAATCAAGCAAGCTAATTAAGTAACTAGACCGAGAAAACAATTTAAAATGGTGTTACTTACCACTTGGATGAAGACAGGTATGTTCTTGTATATCCCAAGTAAGGTAAATACTAGAATGTTGATTCAGCTCATTGAGATGGTAATAGTCAAAGATAGTTGGAACAGAAACATTCTTCACAAACGTACAATTGGAATTGACAACTCTAGTGTATGGACCCGCACCTATAATGGTATAATTTGAACCTTCGAGGCAACCAATTTTACCGTCGAATAAGCGGTAATCATCAGCATTCCCGGAGCAGTTATACACTTGATATTTACTAACTAGGCTTCCTGGCCGAAAAGGTGAAGTTGTAAGATCCAAAGATAAAAGTTTTTGTGGAAGACAATTATTTGGATCCGAAAGGTTTATATCTCTTGTAGGATAAATTATGTAATCGACGGTGAAGTTTCCGGCCTTAGGGAGTTCAAGGAGCGGCCCTCCTAGCTTGTCGTCGCAATACATGTCAAACCCGGGAGAACCACAAGTGCAATTGACCTTACCATCTATTAAGCGGAATGGAAATTGTATTGAGATGTAGTCTTTTTCGATGGTACTAGTATTGTTGAAAGACGGTGTTTTCTTACAGATTCTTGTGTCACATGTCTCGGCATTGTTCGTCTTTAGCATACATAGGAATTGGATGGAGATGAGAGAATATAAGATGAGCGTGTTGGATTTTCTCATGGTTATTGACATGATTTTAATTAAACTAGTCCAATATGAAGTAGTTTATGAGGTGTTGTAACTCATTAAAAACTACGAAAGAATCGAAATATGAACTATTCTAGCTCTCGTCATTGCTTTGATTGTTGCAAGAAATCGAGTTGATTTGTAATATTGTAGTGTCCTTAAATCATGGACCAACTCTTTAGACTAGGAAAAGGGCAACATACATGTTTAAATTAGCATATGTTGCTTTGACTTGTTTATTAGTCAAGATCCAAAAACGATTTATAAATGATTATTTGGGTATGTTGTGCTAAATTTTGCTTTGACTTTTTATCATTTAATCGCTCCAAAAACGATGTATAAATGATTATTTGGCTATGCTGTGCTACTTTAATTTGCTAGTATATATGGAGTATCGTCATGTCATTGTCTTAAGGGATTTTCTTACAACCATAGATGGTAGCTAATTTAAGTGATTGTCTATGAATTAAAAATTATATGACTCATGAGGTCTAAGAGCAAATTGCCCAGGTCCCATCAAAATATTGTACTTTATAAGACGGACTTTTCTTTCCCATTTCTCCAATATGAGACAACTCACATAAAGACAAATTAACAAAGGAGTTTCAACAGATATGCATGACCGATATACATTAGTAAAACTAAACATTAAATACAAGCATTTTTTTTTATCTCACTTACAGTAAATAATTGACCTTATATGGGAGGGCGTGGAAGGTAGTTTCCATAAACATACAGACCGAAATTTGTCATACAAAATTTTGTTTACACCTAGAATATACACAATAGTTTCATAAGAAAAAAACACTACATACAATTGATGAATGAAGGACATACATGTATGGAAATATTTATAACGAGCAATATATGAGATTGCCGATATAGTAATAAATTACACATGATGATGATCCACAAGTAGCTTAATTAAGAATTGCGTGGTGGAAGAGTTCTACAAATTGGGCAAGTGGATTCAACCGATAGCCATAGATCAATACAATCGACATGGAAGCGATGAAGACACTCAGGTAATATCTTAAGGGTGTCACCAGCTAAGTATTCAGTCAAACATATTGAACATTTATCATCATCTGGTTTAATCAGGCGGCCACTCTGGCCAATCAACACCGTCGGATATGAGTTAATCGTGACCTGATCAAGTCCTCCGTGTACATTAGAAGGTGTTGAACTTTGCCTCTGTGAAATTGCCTGATTTGTACTTGTGGTAGCATTGACAACAGGTGCCTCAACGTGTCTCCCTGACGATTCAGAGCCACAAATGCAGCACACACAAAATATTATAAAGGCGAGTGCTATTGCTGCTACGGCTGCTACTCCGATCCAATAGAAGTGTGTTGTACTTGGATTTTTACCGGAGCTAGAAGCTGTCGAAGGAGGGGTTTAGGTACGGTCAAATTTTCTAGACTAAGTACAAATAAAATAACACAATTTAAAACATACTAATAGCAAGACTAAATCAGCTAGCAACTAATTTTGATGTTTAGTACATTTTACTAAAATTCAAAGAAATAAGCAGGCTGAACAAGAAGTGAAGAAACGAATACAGCAAAACGAAAAGAGAAGTCACTCACCACATGAATCACAATACTTCTCATCCCAAGTAAGCTCAATCCTTGAATAATAACTCAAATAACTGAAACCAGCAGTATAACGTTGCAGTTGTGGAACAGAAACAATCTTAATCAACGTGCAATTATATTCATCGACATTAAAATCTGGGCCGCTTACACTTAAAACGGTATAATTTGAACCGCTAAGGCAATCAATTTTTTCATACGACCCGAAGATGTCAATAAAATCACCATCTTCAGAGCAGTTATACATCCAGAAATTCTTACTATTATTTTGGGTTTGTGGTAGGAAAGGAGCTATCAGGTAAGATTTAGAGATAACAACTTTTGTGGAAGACAATCATTTGGATCCGAAAGCTCTATAAGTCTCGAATAGTAATATATGGCATCGATGGTGAAGTTTCCAGCATTAGGGAGCTCAAGGAGGGGGGCTAACATGTCATCACAATACACATTGAACCCGGGAAAACCACAGGACTCAGGCTGGGTATTTACTAACCGGAAAGGAGACATGATTGAGATATCATTGATGACATCGGAAGATACTTTTTTCTGGCAGCTCGTTATGCCGCAATATTCAGCACTGCTCATCTTTGATATACATAGAAAATAGAAGAATATGTGAGGGAAAAGTCTTATGGAATTCTTCATGCCTTATTTTCCTTGTGTTTACCAAATACAATTTGGTAGTTGCAAATTAAATAATTTGTTTCAAGCATAGTCCAATTGCTAATCTTGCTATTGACATCTTGTGTTACAAAAATAATTAGTGCTAATTCAAAGATGGAAATTTTGAATTCTGTATAGTTGACTTGCTTTAAAATCTTAAAAGGAATAACATTAATTTAGCCTAGTCTATATTTCAATTTATTATAGAATATGCCTTGAATCAATAAATTCAATATATAGCTTCAAGTGATGATTGCAGATTGGTCAAATGGTGTTCAGTTTGAATTTTGTAAAGTCGGTTGGATACTTGGATGTAGTACTTCAAATTATGTTCGTTAGTAGAAAAGACAGTAGTTTTCATAACATACAGAAAATCTATCATAAAAATTTGTTACACCTTGAATATACCCAATTGTTTTATATAAAAAACACTACTTGAATTCGTATTACTAATACAATTGATGAATGACAAACATAAAATATGGCATTTTTATAACGCACACCATATGAGATTGCCAGTATAACAAATTACATATGATGATGATGATCAAGGAGCTTAATTAAGAATTGCGAGATGGAAAAGTTCTACAAATGGGGCAAGTGGATTCAGCCAATAGCCATAAATCAATACAACCAACATGGAAGCGATGAAGGCACTCTGGCAATATTTTAAGGTTGTCACCAGGGAGGTAATCCATCAAGCAAATTGAACAAATGCCATAATCTGGTTTGATCAGGCGGCCGCTCTTGCCAATCAACACGGTTGGATACGAGTCAATTGTGACCTGATCGAGTCCTCCTCCTCGATGTACATTATTAGATGGTGTTGAACTTTGCCCTTGTGAGATTGCCTGATTTGTACTTGTGGTAGCAACAACAGGTGCTACAACATTTCTCCCTGACGGCGGCTGAGGTCTGACTCTGCAGCAAACACAAAATATCAACAAGGCGAGTGCTACTCCTGCGAATTCAATAACCGACCAATCTGATGTGTTGCCGCCATTGCCGGAGCTAGAAGCTGTAGAAGTAAGAATTCAGATCAAAAATACTAGACAAAGTGCAAATAATATTCCACAATTTATAGTGTTCTAGTAGCAAGACTAGCAACTAATCAATTCCCTTACAAATTAATTGTGTAGGCACATACAAAAATGGCATAGTATATTGCAATTTTTTTAGCAATAAGCAGGCTAATTAATTAAACATGCAAAATATGAACTGCTAATTAAGACAATCAATTTTATCGTACGAGCCGAATCAAGATCATCATCTCCAGAGCAGTTATACATCCAGAAATCCTTAATTTTGTATTTTGGTAAGAAAGGATATATCGCGGTAAGATTTAGAGATAACAACCTTTGTGGAAGATAATCATTCTGATCCGAAAGCTTTATATGTCTCAAAGAGATGTCTATGGTCTCGATAGTGAAGTTTCCAGCATTAGATAACTCAAGGAGGGGGCCTAACTTGTTATCACAATACACATCGAAACCAGGGGAACCACAGGACTCGGGCTGATGATTTACTAAGCGGAAAGGAAAAGCGATAGGGATGTGTTTGAAAGAATGTATGTTGTGGCAGTTCATTGTGCTACAATTTTCAGCGCTACTCGTCTCTAGAATGCATAGGTAATAGTGCAATATGAGAGGATAAATGAACAACTTTCTGAATTTTTGTGGTTTAATTTCCTACTGCTTTTACACAATAGTCCAATACGATTTGTTTTGTTACAAGTTGTATTTGTTTTGTTTTTAATTTCCGAAATGCCACTGTGAGTAACAAAACCTGTTACTCACAGTGAGTAACAGGGAATTAGCGGTTTTCAAGCTTAGTCCAATAGTTGAAAGGTCTTATAATTATATTTGACGAAGTATATAACAAAACCTAATTCAAAGATTAAGTAACTATATAATTTTGACCCAATTTCTTAAGATTTACCTCATTAAATTGCCCTATTATATGCAACACGAGCCTATATAAAGACTATAAAGAGTGTAAACCACACTAACTAACAATACACAAGTAAACGAACGCACACATTCATACATACACAATGGCTCGATGAAGTATATATTGAGTATCAATTCAACAATAAGTATTGTAAGCATATACGCGAATAATAAGCATTGTGGAACAAGAATGGGAGAAACAAAAACAGCGATTGAAATAAAAGGAGTCACTTACCAGAGTTACCACATGAATCACAATAATACTCGCTAGTATCCCAACTAAGCTCGATACTTGAAAAATTACTAAGCTTACTGTAATTGCCAAAAGTCGCAGAAGCTAGTGGAACCGACACGGTCTTAAGCAACGCACAATTAGATTCGTCGTGCATAGGACCTAAGCTCACACTTAAAACGGTATAATTTGAACCGCTTAGACAATCAATCTTATCGTACAAGCCGAAGGGATCAGAAAAGTCACCAACACTAGAGCAGTTATACTCCCAAAAGTCCTCACTTTTGTCAATTAGTTGCAATGGAGTTATCGCAGAAAGATCTAGAGACAATAACTTATTTGGAAGACAATTATTCGGATCCGAAAGCTCTATAAGTCTCAAAGAGCCGTCGAGGGCATCGATAGTGAAGTTCCCCGCATTAGGGAGCTCTAGGAGGAAGCCTAATTTGTCATCACAATACACGTCGAATCCAGGAGAACCACACGACTCGGACTGACCATTTACTAACCGGAAAGGATAGGCGACTGAGATATCGAAGATGTCGTTTAAAGTCTTGCAGCTCATAGTGGTGCAATCATCTTCACCCTTGCTAATCTTTAGCATACATAGGAAATAGAGGAAGATGAGAGGGAAAATGAATGGCTTTTTCGAATTTTTCATGCTTTGTTTTTTCTCCTTTTTACCCAATAATAATACGATTTGTTTTCAAAACAATTATTGTATTTGTTATTTATTATGTATGTGCCACAAAAATCAAATAATACTGTTTCATTAATTTCTCACAAAATAATACTCCGTATAATAATCAATCCTCTTCATGATTTTCTCCTCGACAAACTTTCATACTTTTCTAGTACGCTAAACCCTATATTTTATAGGATAACCTAGAAATCCATTAGGATATTTTACTCATAAACCCTACATCAATTTGGATACTATACTTAAAAACTCACATCAATTGGATATTATGATCCTCAAAAACCCACATCAATATGGATATTATACTTAGAAACCCACATCTTGATATTTTACTTACTCGTCTAAATAATCCTAAATGTTTCGTTAAAAAAAATAAATGGTTAAGATTTAATGATTTTTTATTTTTTAAATGTTGATATTAATTAAAAATTAAGTTAATTATTTCCTGATTAAAAATTAAATTTATTTTTTTATTTTCAATTTTATTCATTATTAAAACTGAATTTCATAAACTAATTTGAAAAAAAATCAATAAATAGATTAATTAATATTCAAAAATTTAAAATGAATTCCGGCCTGAACAAGGAAAATGAATTACAATTAATTTTAGCATTTAAAAATAATTCAAAAATCATTAAATCTCAACCGTCCAATTTTAAAAAATTGTGGTAGACTGTAGAATTTTCATAACAGTACCACAAGTTCATGGTACAATTACAAATCATTTGATACATGAGTTCATACAAATCAGATGAGCAACATAAGTATTAAAAAAAAAGTAATCACCACTAATGACAATATGTTTGGGAAAATGATGAAAATCTGAGTAGAACCTTCAAAAAAAAATATTGAGATACTTGTAACACCAAAACTATATATAGTATATTCGATATTCCAGCAACAACCACGTAAGTTGAGAAAATACGAATTCCTCTGAATATGTATATAATAGTTGGCCATCTCTAGTGCACTTAATAATATATCGCGTAATTACATTGCTCTCTTCGGTCTCCTAGCAGCACCTTGGGCTGAACTCTCTGGCTTATCAATGGGAAGACTAATAAAGGAACCTCGGAACGAGTTTGGCTTCTCCTGTTGCAAGAAAGGCCATAAGTTGGGTGTAGTCAAGGTTGTAGGAGGATGTTGGCATGCAATACACGTAGCCAAACAAGAAATCGCGATAACAGGAACTATAGCTAGGACTGCTATGAACGCCATGCTCTTAATAAACGGCTACTTTTATTTTTGCTTATAAATATTTCTAGCAATAGTGAATTGAATTATGAACGAAGATGATTGATCCAGCTAATAAAAGCATTATTTGTGGGCATTATATTTTGACAATGTATGAAATAAATTGATTGGTTGGCACGTCCAAGTTTAATTTAGGAGTACTCATTCAAATTCATAAACTAGTTTAATGCTTGGAACTCATTATCATGCAGCGCGTTTTCTGTGTGGCTGGCTACACTGTATGGTCGGCTGACATACACCAAAACACTGATCGAGTGACCCCTGACCGATTGAGTAACCTTTGACCAAGTAACCCCTGACCGATCGAGTAACCCCTAACCAAGTAACCCCTGACCGAGTAATCCCTAACCGACCAACTAACCCTTGATGACCGACCGAGTAAACCCTGAGTAACCCTTAATCGAGTTATCTCTTACCAAGTAACCCCAGCCACACGGTGTGCCCAGTCA